TGCAGGTAATTATAACTCATGCTTGGCATCCGTTGTCATCACTCCAATTAAAAGGGGATTTCTGTGCAGATCTTGCATTTAGTTCAGGTTTTAGCTTTAAACAAATCACATTTTTATTACAAATCTCTCTGTATAGTGCAGGCTGCTATGCACATGATTAAAAATGATGAGGCTCTTAATTTTTTAGGTTTCTTTCTTTACATAATTTGCTAGAGTTTGCTTAACGTTTCTTGAATTTCAATAAAAGATATAAAACTAATTTGGAAAAGAAGTCTTCTGTTATTTAGTGCTTTTAGAAGGAAACTGACATCACACTGTCATACTGTATGCAGTTTATGTTATATTTGAATATCAGTTTAATGTATCCTGTACGTCAGTGGTTAGTAATTATAGCAACAGGAGGACATTTTCACATGTTTCACATTTCTTCTCTTTTTACTATTAAAATTGTATGATTGAAGAACGTTTGATCAACTATGTGGTGTATTTTGCCTGTCAACGAAGTTTTGTTCAAACCAGAATCAGGCGGATAAAACAACTGGTGATTTAATTAGATAAATCTTGGACAACAATTTCCTTCTGTGCACTGCGACCATTGTGTGATCCTCAAACTGGAGGAACACTGGAAAGAGAAAAGAGTTGATCAGAACTGAATTAATCACAGTCATTATCTGGAATACTTAGTTTGAAGGTGAACACATTATGCATTGGTGAGCTACCAGTAAATGTAAGAACACATAACCTCCTTAGTGTCTTGTCACCATATATTGGTCTGGGCCAGGTCCAACCACCATTTGTTCAATGTAGGCCTTGTACTGGGTGACCTAATTTTGTCTTAAAAGCCCTATTCCTTGTACTCACAGAATAACTGCTAATTGGATTTCAATTTGGTCTAAGTTTAAACCTGTCATGCAGGAAGTGTTGCTCATTCTTAATACTTCATAGCAGGTTAATCAGATGCTTCTAGCATACAAAATCAAGGACCAAACCCCTAATGGTAGCTTATCTACATACACATGCTGTAGATATGGCCAAAACATTTGTTTTAAAGATGGACACAACTACTTGTAAAATATTGCCATTCTGCATCATCTATAGGTGCAATGGGTTTTTTTCTGCAGACTTGATTTTTCGCCATGTACTGTAGTTTCTCCATCTCGTCCACCTCTCCTCACATTCCGCGTGTCTTTTCGGAAAACATTCTTTCTTATCTCGAAGGGTTAGCTCATCCTTTTTTTTTACGCCAGCTTTTCTCTATTTTGACAAGCGGCATGCAAGTTGCTTAATCAGCGAATCACTCCCCTATCCCCTTTAGGCAGAACCCAAGAAAATACGATTCCTATTTTTAGTGCTGGCCTGCCCTTGATGGTTTACAAGCAGGAATAATGGACTGGATACAAACGAATCAGCATCACCAAAGCACAAAGTACAGGATAAAAGCCAATGATCCCATAAAAGAAGAACAAATAAAATACTGTGTGTATGGAACATAGCGTTGGTTTGAAGAATAACTCATGCGAACAGCCCAGAGGGAACATTAAATTAAACATTAGGCAATTCAACAGCTCTTACAAAATTCTAAAGACATACTGAATGCACCCTGATGTTGTATTTCAACAGACTCGTCTTAAGACGTTTGTAAATGGAATTTTAGTAAAGGTTTTATTGATCTACAACTTTTAAACCTTTAAAAATTCAATACTTCTCATACTATAAAATTCCATTTCAAATTCATTCTTTTTTTTCAATTTGTATACTTCATGTTGTTTTTGGGAGACCTGAGCATCACTATGTGGGTAGAATTAATAAGTTAGTGGAAAGCATCCATTTATTGGTAGACTAATTGCATTTGAAGTCAGATAACACTTTTGAGGGTACCCACTTCATCCACCTTCTTTCAACCTTTCTTACCAACTGGCCCACCACACAGAAGCTCAGGTGGAGAAGCAAGCAATCGTTTCACCTGTTGAAGTGAGGGGAACTTTAGGGGGACCATACTACCCTCAAATGAAATTAGCCACAACACCAATACTGCCCTAGTCCTACAAACATTTTTATGGGCCTTTTAAGGACCACGTAATTAAGAGCCCAGTCTAATAGCTCAACCAAAGAACAGCGCCTCATGCAGCACCGCGGACAAGTGAGCCCTACTGATAACAGGGAAAACGGCAAGGCGTCGCGTTTTTGTTAATTACTACTCATTTAGACAAAGCGGATTACATTTGCTCCCATTTACCACTGCAAATAACGGAAGAAGCGTTGTGTTTAACAGAGGCTAAAGGAACCCCTGTGGACACCGAGAACAAGACAGGATTGTAATCTGAACGGGAGCATTACAATCGTATCACAGAGAACAGGAAAGCAGTGCAAAAAGCTATAGATACGAATATTTAAGAAATGAAATCCGAAACCATGTCATGGGTAGTCAGATTTGGTACTTAAATGTCATGCCATTGGCTCTTTAATTTTTGAATCAACTCAGGTGCTGAAGATCACTTCGCTGTGGGCCTATTCGCTGAAACAAAGACTTGCAATGAAAAGGAAGTATCTGCGCTACACTTCCACCAGGTGTTCACGACATAAAGGGGAAAAGACCGTTTGACTCAGACAGGGTTCTGCTGCCGCCTAGTGGCAAACTTCTTTTGAGACTAAATAATTTCAGTGTCGCGTTTACCCAGGTTAAAGAAAACAGGTTAGATCTTGAAAATGACTTAGCACAATAACTCCAGGACATCCGTGTTTTAAGCAATTGTGTGAATAATGAAACAAAACAATGCATGATTTAACCATCAAAACGTTACTTTTACAGCTGAACTGCCAGTTATTGCCATAAAAGATCAGACTTAACTAAAGCAAAATGAAATGCAATATTGACTTCCTTGTGCAGCATTCTTTTATTTCTGGTTCCAAAAAAGCATTCCATATTTATAATGATAGCCTATGACTGCTTATCACTAGTTTTCTATACATATCCTAGAAATTCGCTTTAATCGATGTATGAAGCATATTAGGACAATTGCTTTAAAATGCTTTTAAAAACGTTCAGTGAGCGCCAGCATCAACCCTTTCGTTGTTAAATGCTCCAGTAGCTGGTACAATCGCGTAGTGGTGACTCCAAACTGCGGGATTATCTATCTTCTGCATCATCGTGGATGTCGTCTGCTTTTAGACTGTAGACCGTATCCAAAATAGCGGTGCACTGTGGCTAAGGATCTGCGCCTGTGTCGGTTCATATGCCGCGGCCGGCAGAGGAATCCTACTCCGTTGGGCCCCTGAGCAAGGCCCTTAACCCCAGCTGCTCCAGGGGTGCCTTATGCATGGCTGACCCTGCGCTCTGACCCCCAGCTTCTCTCCCTGTCTGTGTGTCTCATGGAGAGCAAGCTGGGGTATGTGAAAAGACAAAGTCCTAATGCAAGCAACTGTATATGGCTCATAAAGTGATCTTCTTATAAATATGTTTTCCATTTTTTTTCATTATCTCGCTGTGATTTCCTCCCGTTTTATACACATCTGGGGGCGATTTCTAATGTGCATGCCAGAAGCCTTCGTTTTATTGTCTGAGCCAAATTCTTAATCAGAAAGAAAATCCCCCCAAACACGAGATGTCTACATATTACGCTCATAGGGCAGACAAGCAATCATGAAAAATATATTTTCTCTTTTGGGTCTAGTTGTGAGCCTAAAGCTTTACAGCTGTTTCCTCTTTGCAAGTGCACTGTTTCATTCTCCGAGGTAACTCTCCTGATTAATTCTGCCCCCCCCGGCGGATTTCAGTGTTGTAAAGTGTTGACTCCCATAGCACACTGGGGAGATTTCCACGTGGATATGGCTTCCGTTCCCCACAAACTAGCTGGATACGTACTGTACGGGGAAGTATTGTAATAATCTCACCAGAGGCTTCGAGTTTGTGCTCAGCGTCAAACGCATTTTATAATACTGTATTTTTTCCTCTGCGTGTTGAAAGCGTAAATCGGTCATTTTGTTAGGATACCTAGGATGTTAAACGTGAGTTTAGATGCAGTGCGTAATAAATATTTATAGAAGGCTTCGCACCTCAAAAATGTATCTTTACATTTCTGTTCTTACATCTTCTGTCCTCCACTCCCGGTGCATGCACAGTATGGTTTTAAAACCAATACGTTTTTAAACTCTAAAATCCTGAGAACCCGCTTGTTGTGTTCTGTTTCTAAGGGGCTCTGAAACCTACAGTATTTAATAAGATTTACAATGACAAACCATAGTGCGCCAGAACTTCCAGTCGATCTTATGATTCCCAACATTGTACACTGCCCAAGTGTCTCACCATTAAATGTATGCAATACCCACGTGTCAAAAATGCGGTACTTATGTAATAAATTAAACCGATTTGAACATGCGTCACCGGATTTAGCAATCTTGGATTAAGAAAAGATAAAAATGTTTGGTATTGCACGTGACATCCCAACAAACCTTAAAAAAACTGATGCAACTTTTTTAAATTTTAGTCGTGGTTTAAGTTATCATTAAACAATCTCCATTTGCAAAAGATTTTTCTTGGCATTGTATTTAGAATAAAATAATTTAATGTTTACTTTTGTTTTAAGGATACCTCTTTGAAGAAGGCTCCACAGCCGAAACGTTGTGTTTCCTTTCTTTTCCTTTCAGCATGGAATAAACCCGCTACCTGTTAATTCTTTAAGTATCCCTCCCTTCTTTTTTAGGAAGTTTGAAGTTACATAAACTTTGAGGATGTATCCCCCGATAAAACAATATACCTACTTTATCTATCCATCCATCCATCTTCTAACCAGTTTATACAATACAGGGTTGCGAGGGACCCAGAGCTTAACCCATCGACCAAAAATGCAAGACAGGACACACAATATTGGAAAACTGTTCACACTCAACACTGAATGCTAAACTGAAGTCACCCTTAAAACACAGGCGTCAAGAGAGACAGCCCTTTGCGTCGGGTCCTTGACTTTCATTCAGGCAATTTTTCAGTCGCCTTAGTTTGTAATCGGGTCCTTTTGCTGGTCGCACGTGTGTCTGAGAGAAGGTTTGCCAACATGGCTGACTTACAGATGAAACTTCTGAGGAAGAAAATCCAGAAAAGGAATGAAAAGAATAAGAAGCGAAACTTACTCAAAAAACAGAGGAAGGAAGAAGAGGATGATGGTAATGCGCGCTTTATTGGACTTGTATTATCTGATCTGGAATTTGAAATAAGTTTCTTATTATTCTGGCGTCGGAAGCATGTGAGAGTCCCATGCTGGAGTGTATTGGTTTTTTTTAAAAAATAATCTGTGCTAGTAAGGCTGGCGTTATTTACTAGAAAAGGGTGAGGGCTTATTTAATAATGTCTAAGAAACTTTATTTTCCCCGGCGTACAAAAATCATAACTGCCAATTAAAGCTATGTGTAATTTTCTCATTCCGGCATCGGTGGACTGAGCACATTTGCTCGAGGGCCAGTTACATTTCTGACCCGAACGCTTATTCAGCTGTTTTCGTGCATTTAAAACGGTCGATTTTTTTTTTTGGTCTTTTCACCCTGGCGATACTCTAGATTGCGGCGGTAAACTTGCAGCACCGTGTCCGGACGCAGAAGACGAAAGGGAATCGGGACAAGAGAGGGACACCGTGAAACCCGCCAAGAAGCTGAAGAAAACACAGCGCGTCTCTGCTGACGAGGACGCTGTAGCCCAGGGTCCCAGAAAGAAAAAAAGGAAAATAAAATTAACTAATAATTCTGATGGAACAGGTATTTTCCCATAATACCGTCGCAAGTGGAAACCTATTGATAAATGATGTATATTGCATGGTAACACATTTTTAGATCCAGTATATATTTTTATTTCCATTTTGTACTTTGTAAATATATCTTAAGTTCCTTCTACTGTAATGGATGGATTTTCTAATGTCACAGAAATGCCAAACGTTTAAATGTTTGAGACGGTACAGCTTTTTGACACTTTGTTTTAGTGAACTTGCTTCCCCCTGTGAATGAGGGGAATCTTCAGGGATACCAGACTGCACAAGCCCGAGTGAAATGTAGCTGGGACACTGTGGTAGCACCCATTCTAATCTGTAAACAGTGCTGTGGAATCTTTCATGTCTGGTCTGTAGGATGTTACCTCCTACAATACACTGTCCTGATCACTGTGCATTAGCAATGGTTTGGAAATTGTGTGAATGAAGGAAAGAGCCTCAGCTGGGTCTTCCAACACGATTTACAGTGGAGGTCTCCCATATCAGGACTGCCCAGGACCAGCCTGGCTTAGTTTCTTAAGACTGGCTAGAAGCTGGTGAATCTTGTTGTGTAAATTACCTCCTAGAAACTAAGAAGGCTAAACAAGAGGAGGAGCAAGAGGAAACAGAAGGAGAGGCCAGTGGGGAGGTCGTGACCTCTGTGGACGGTTTGGAGGAGCCAGAGCAGTCTGATGAGGAAGAGCAAGCTGCAATTGCAGAGTCTGAGGAAGATGATGAGGAGGGCGATGGGCCACAGCTACCATTAGGGCTAACAGGTAAAGAAGGCTTTGCAAATGCAGGAATGCTTCCCACAAATAATCAGCATCCTGTTGTAGGTTAGAATGTTATCTTTCATTTTGCTTAGTGGACTATGTTTCAAGAGTGCACCTGGCACCAAAGTAATCTATAGAGTGAGATTCTCCATTGTCTCCAGTGTAACATGTGTTTATTCATCATTTTTAAATACTAACCAGGTGCTTTTGAGGACACTTCTTTTGCCTCTCTGTCCGGTGCGGTCAGTGAACATACACTGAAGGGAGTTAAAGAGATGGGCTTCGAGCACATGACGGAAATACAGCACAAAAGCATAAGACCACTGCTGGAAGGCCGGTGAGTTCCCAAGATGCTCATGCCTTGGTTTATTTTATACTTCAGTACACCTCATGTGCTCACCTTTCAAAGTGAAAGAAGGTCCCTTCCAAACGTTCCTCATTTGTCTGCATTAAGGGACGCTGAAAGCCTCAATGATGTCTTTTATATTTTGTGCAGAGATGTTTTGGCAGCAGCTCGGACTGGCAGTGGAAAAACATTGGCCTTTCTTATACCTGCCATTGAGCTGATCTACAAGCTGAAGTTCATGCCCAGAAATGGTAAGACAGCCCTCGAGACGAAGATCATTGTTCTGCTTGTTTGTGTTTCACCCGAGTCCAAAGCTCCCAGAGCCGGAAGTGATAGAATGTTTTAACTGTTTTATGATTTTAACGGTGTATGTTTCCCTACATAACTGTATTTTCTGGCAAACAGATTTCTCACTTAAAAAGATAAACCTGCTCCTATCATAGGTAGGTGAATCAATATATCAAGTATATATCTGTCTTTCCAAGCAGTTCAATGTGAATTTTTATTACATAAAGCAGGGTCCATTCTTATAGGATCAGGTCTTAAAGGTTATTTAAGTAAAGTGTCTCTTTTTTTAATTGACTTGCCATTTTGTTGTTATACTTACCTGATTGTGAAATAACCAGTTTTGAGCTTTTCATAACTCAAAACCTGAACCCCCAATGCAGGAGAATGAGAAGTGTAGGCAGACTCCCCTGTCCCTCAAACCTTTGGCCTCTCACCTTTTAACTCATCCCAGGCACCACGATCCTGTAGTAGAGGTGTCCCTCACTGAGAGCACAGCCAAACTGCAAGTGCCCTGGAGGACACAGAGGTCACTCAGTTTACCTGGCAGACTATCAGTCTGAAAGCTTGTGCCATTATTGTTGATGCAATCCAAATCACCAACACTGCACAATTAACATGCTTTTTGCTTTGTTTAGGCACTGGAGTAGTCATTCTGTCACCTACCCGGGAGTTAGCAATGCAGACATATGGTGTGCTTAAGGAATTAATGACGCATCACGTACACACGTATGGCTTAATAATGGGAGGCAGCAACAGATCAGCTGAAGCACAGAAGCTTGCTAATGGAATCAACATCATCGTTGCCACACCTGGCAGACTGCTGGATCACTTACAGGTACGCTAACGTAAATGGCTTGTGCAGTTCATTTAGTGCAAACTGGTAAATCATAAACATTGAATGCAATTCTGAGCAAATAAAAGTGTAGAATTTTTTGTGCCATTTTAAATGTTAGATTTATTAACATCCTTCCATAGATGCGCTCAAAAAAAGTTGTTGAATTGTTTGAATTGAAATTTTCACTTAACTTGTAATTAAAGCTCTCTTACAAATTAAACTTAACATTTAGAAAGCAATAATGCATTTAGACTGTTCTTTAGGAAACGCTCAGTTTAAAGTTTAATTAATATTTCTCTCGCTGCAGAAGAAAAAGTAATGTGAAACTATTAACATAAAGCATCAGATGCCCTAAGCAGGATGCATTTTGTTTGGATTTGTCTCTTAAGACAAAATGTGTCTTCTCTAGAATACCCCAGGCTTCATGTACAAGAACCTGCAGTGCCTGATAATTGATGAAGCTGACCGTATTCTTGAAGTTGGATTTGAAGAAGAACTGAAGCAAATCATTAAACTTTTGCCAAGTAAGTACAAAAGCTGGAAAATGTAATTTTTACAGTGGAATTTATTTACACATTATTGGCTCACATTTTGAGATACATTATTTCCTGTGAAACCTTGCAGTGTCTATCAAACAGTAGTGGTAGCCTCCACTGTTCATTGTTTGCAATGACGTAAGACATTTTTCTAAGATGGAAGCAATTCATAAAAGGAGGTCAGTGGTTCAGTTTTTCCTTTTCTCTAATGTGCTTTATAGCGAACCCTATAAAAAAGTGGTTGCAGAGCATTTAAAAGTCTTTTGAGTTCCAAGGTGCTGTATATTAAGAAATCATAAGTGGAGAAACCTTGCTGCCTTGTAATCTTCAGCCTCGAACAATGGTCTGTTCTGTGGTAGTTACTAATCTATAACTTCTGCCAGTCTTACTAGAGATGCTTGTTTATTTTCATTTTCTTGTGTTCTGTTTTCAACCTGTAATGGATATTTGCAAACAGCTCTGCTGCACCTGTAAACTGATTCTCATTGTGTGCAGCAATATAGGAGTTACTTGTTTTCTTTTTCAGAACGAAGGCAGACCATGCTTTTCTCTGCTACACAAACCCGCCGAGTGGAAGACCTGGCCAGGATTTCCCTTAAAAAAGAGCCCTTGTATGTTGGAGTTGATGACAACAAAGAAACAGCCACTGTGGAAGGCCTGGAGCAGGTAATGATTCCGTAAAAGATCTGGTGACGTTTGTTATCTTTGAATTGCAATAAATTCACCAGTTGTCGAAAGATTGCAGCAACAGAGACATTTTTCTGTTTGTTCTTTAAACATCCCTGTATTTGTTACATTTGTCAGGGAAACCAGTTTTCACACTCCCAAAAGGATGTTTGATGATCCATGTTACCCCTCTGGACTCGGACACATACTGGCAATTCTGTACAGTAAAGCCCTGCTTCGCTGGCTCAGTCCGAGGAAAGGGGTGTCCAGTATTGCTGGCTGTTTGTTCAATGCCCAATGAGATATTTGGAGCCCAAAAAACACTCTCGTGTATGGGAAAATGTCAAAACTAACCCACATTTTTTTGAAACGTTAAGACGTTTTTGAAACTCGTTCATTATATCCTTGACGACTCTCCGAGTCTCTGTACCGTGCTACAACTGCGTTTCACTTTGTAAAGGCTGTCAGCATTTGCACACAGGCGCCGAAGCCAGCACGTGTAATGCTTGTATGCTTGGGTATTTTCTGGAAGTGAACATCAAAAGTGACCAGTCTCATCGGCATTGTACAGTTGTGATAGTGAAGCATTCATCTTGGATTAATTCATTCAATATCTTACGGAACGGTTCTCTTCAATGTGTGCACTCAAAGCTTCACCATGTGTTCTTTCATTCACTATATTGTGACGCTGCATTTGAAATTCAGTTTCATGTGTTTTGCCAGTGTATTGGCAGCAGATTGCCGTAGAACACTACAGGGGTTTCTTTTGCAGACAAAACCCCTTTACCAGAGTTTGTCCACTAAATCCAAAGTGTGTTAAACCGAGGGTTTAACTAATTAGAAACATCGGAAATGCTCTGTCATTATTTATTCAAACCAATAAGCACCAACACTTATGTAACCATTTTAAAGGTATTCGCCACAAGTAAAACGTCTTAAGGAATATCAAAATAGCTTAAGTGCTACACATTCCTCTTTGTATTTTTTCAGGGCTATGTGGTGTGTCCTTCTGAAAAACGATTCCTGCTGCTCTTTACTTTCTTGAAGAAGAACCGTAAGAAGAAGCTGATGGTGTTTTTCTCCTCCTGCATGTCTGTAAAATTCCATTATGAGCTGCTGAACTACATTGACCTGCCTGTCATGGCAATTCATGTGAGTGAATGAATTAGCGTACAAGTCAGGATTTAAAGGCATCTGTTATTATTATTATCAAGACCGCATTCCATTCCCAGCAAATGATTAATATGCTTTTTTTAATGTTCAGTAAATACGTTGCATTTTGTTAGAATTCAGTTTAATTTTCACCCATATGATTGTTGTCTTGGTGGTTATTTAAATCATGTGCTCCTGCTTTGCACCCACACTGGTTCATTTCTCAGTCCTGCAGCATTACAAATTATTTATCCTGCTTAATTAAGCAGGCAAGATACGCTGAAATATCCAGACACCCCTAATTCTCTTGATGGGTATGTTTTTAAAGATTTCAGTAGGGTAGAATGTGGAAAAGTCATTAGTCTTTTAAGTATTAATAATTATTAATAATTGCTGTTGCAGTGAATTACTAAAATTAGTAAAATAATTAGCCAGAACTGTTTTAATGAGTTTGACCTAGAAGTTGAAAGTTGCAGTTTTTCTGCAGCTGGGTGATTTTAAAACTGTAGCATTTGCATTAGTTTGCCTTTGTTCTCCCCCAGAGTGTTTAATATCTTCTGTACCCCACACACGGCTCCTTCTTGCAGTGTAGGCATTCCCGTCATTTTTCTAAAATGGAAACTCTTCTTTCTGTTCTGTCAGGGGAAGCAAAAGCAGACGAAACGCACGACCACATTTTTCCAGTTCTGCAACGCGGACTCGGGAATCCTGCTGTGCACAGATGTGGCTGCCAGGGGCCTGGATGTGCCGGAGGTGGACTGGATCGTGCAGTATGACCCGCCTGATGACCCCAAGGTAGCTGCTGCCCAGAATCACTGCTGTTTCGTTCTTATTTCAAGTAACACGGCACACCAAGCAGGATGAGCCAAACAGTCTTCTCTCTTTCGCAGACTATGTTCCAACATGCTAAGCTTTAGCTTATACTACCTTGTTACTCATTTTATACTGATATTTGGTGGTTGCTGCTAGTGTAATATTTGCTTGCACTTACATAGTGCTTTTCTGGACACTCCACTCAGAGCGCTTTGCAGGTAATGGGGATCCCCTCCACCACCACTGTGCAGCCCCACCTGGATGATGTGACGGCAGCCATAGTGTGCCAGAATGCTCACCACACATCAGCTTTCAGTGAGGAGGAGAACAGTGATGAAGCCAGTTCATAGATGGGGTTTATTAGGAGGCCATGATTGGTAAGGGCCAATGGGAACTTTGGCCAGGAGACCGGGCTTACAACCCTACTCTTTTCGAGAAACACCCTGGGATGTTAATGAACACAGAGAGTCAGGACCTCGGTTTTACGTCTCATCTGAAGGACTGTGTCCTTTTACAGTATAGTGTCCCCGTCACTATACTGGGGCATTAGGGCCCACACAGACCGCAGGGTGAGCGCCCCCTGCTGGCCCCTCTTACGCCTCTTCCAGCAGCAACCTTAAGTCTCCCATCCAGGTGCAGACCAGGCTCACACCTGCAGAGCTTCAGTGGGCTGCCAGTTCTGAGCTGCAAGGGACGATCATGTCCACTTGCTCTTAACATGGATTTTGAAGTGCAAAGGGCAAAGCTGAGAGTATCTATGAACTGAACTGTGTCAACACCAGCACACTGATCTTGTGGTTCATGGTTTTGTGCTCGTCAGGAGTACATCCATCGCGTAGGGAGAACTGCAAGAGGGATTGATGGGAGAGGACATGCCCTGTTGATCCTCAGGCCTGAAGAGCTGGGATTTCTGCGTTTCCTCAAACAAGCTAAAGTAAGGGGAACCATTTGTCTGCTCTCCTTTATGTTTTTATCATCTTTTTTCTCAACTAAATGAAAATATTTTCTCTTCTGCAGGTGCCACTGAGTGAATTTGAATTCTCCTGGAGCAAAATTTCTGACATCCAGTCACAGGTGTGCTTTCCATCCAGTCTTCTGCACTTTGAGTTTTTTGCTCTGAAAGAAATTGCTCTAAGACATAAGGGGTTAATTTCATTTGCTCTCTTGCTAACTTTACCTCGGAGGCAGAGGGCAGGCAGTGGAAAATGAGATGTGGAAATGGCTCAGGAATCCGTTCGTGAGGATCTTGGCAGATAGTTTCCTCAGCCACACAGAGGTCCTTTTCACAGCGGGAAATAACCTGTTTTCTGATCTCTAGTGCCCTTTGAAGTTGTTCACAAAATGATGAGGTCTATATCACAAATGTGTGGGTGGATAGAAGTTTGATGTTTTAACAATGTAGCATGTCAGTGATTTTGGATGAGTATCATGACAAGCAGCATACAGTCCTTAAATTGGATTTGAAGGCTGAACAAATCCCGAGCTGAAAGGAGCTCTTGCCAAATAGATATACTAAACATCAGAAACTCCTGTGTATATGCTCTTTGTAGTATAAAGTATATCCGAAGTCTGTATACTTTGGCTGTTGCGATTAATTGATTATTTGTGATTAATATTATCTGCTGGAGTGATTTTGTTCCATATACTTAATATCACCTCATTAGTGAGAGGGTTGACCTGGCACAGGTGATGAGGTGACTTAACCTATTCAATGTCAAGCTTGGTAAAAATCAGGAAAGGAATAGAAAGGCAGAAATGCGCCCCAGTTATGAAAAGAAAGGTGCCTTAGAGCTGCTGGTACATGGGAGGCTGGACTGAGGCCACACGCTGCATGGTGCTGTCTGG